GATGCAGAAAACTATCCTATGTATGTCTAAAGTAAGTTTCAATTAGCTCACCAATGACAGCCTTGCTGTCCTTTGTAGCTGTCACACAGGACAAATGCATCTTGTATCCCAAATTCTCCTATCATTAATTTAGATGGAATGTGTCAGTCCTCATTATTTCTGGTATGTAATCTGAATTCCGACATAACTACACTCAACTTTTCATCTCTGATTGCCCTACTGTGCATCAGGAGCTAGAGCAAGTCATGATGACAAGATTATTTGAAATATTTGAAGCAACAAACTTTCGTGTCACCTTGAAAATGAGAAGGCTTTGTTCATATTATTACAAACGTTTGGTAAATGTCCTTTTCCCTGTGGTTTGAGCCCCACTACATGTGAACTTAAAGCAAGAATTTCCTTAATTGCATTATGCTCATGTGTCCATAACTGAACATCCTGTCATAACAGACACTGTGATCCCAGCCTGGTGCTTAATGTATTAGGAAGTGGCTTTAACTGTAGGGAGCTGTGATTGAATGGTTCCTTTCTGCAGAGAGGCATGTTCACCAGTGGATTAAATGAACTGAATACAGTGTGAGTGGGTTGTGTGTGTGCGTGTGTCTGAGTCAGTGTTTGTTTCTGGCAACTACATGGCCAGTTCCATACAGTTTTCTTGGCAATGTTTTTGGAAGTAGTTGGCAGTCAGGAAAAGTGCCACAGATTAGCATTTGGTAAAGTAGGAATGAAAAGATCAGAAAAGATACTCACATGCGGTGACAGATCTATATCTACAAAAAATCATGGAGGCAGCTGTTTTCCTTCTGATGCTATCAGCGCAAAAGTTGGGCTTTGAAGAAGCAGGATAGAAAGAGTACTGGTGCTTTTGAACTTTGGTATTGGAGAAGACTCTTGAGAATACCATGGCTAGCCAAGAAGATAAAGATATCACCTAAAAAATCATCCCCGAGTTCTCACTCAAGTACAAAGGCGAAGACCTGGCTCTCAAGAAATCTACAGTGCTGGGCAGGGTGGAAGGAAAGAGGAGGAGACCTTCAGCAGCAAGATGGACGGGCATGGGTCACTGGGGGGCGACTCGGAGGACTATGTTATGGGAAGACTGTCACGGAGAACGTCCAGAGTCAACACGGACTTGATGACCCGTAATCGATTTTGTTTGTTTGTTTGTTTGTTTGTTTGTTTTTTGAGAAACGACATTAAAGCATTCCCGGGGATGAAAGTGATTCCTAGAAATCCGCACATCATTTCTGAATTATCATGACCTCTGCAGTAGCCTCCGCTGGGCCCGCCCCAGCCTCCAAACTGAAGAGCCCATCCCAGAATAGTCGCGCTCTCCCGCTCCAGACGTAAAACAGCCGCCGGGCTGAGCATCGCCGGTCAACAGAAAAACCGGGCGGGAAAGAGTGAGGAGAGCCGGGCATTTCTTCCGGACCGGGTGTCCTGCATCTTTGTGGCCGGAAAAAAAGGGGGGGGGAGAGATTTGACCCTGAACCTGCCCCCCCGATGAACCTTAATAAGACGCCCCCCGTCGGTCCCTGTTTCGGAATAACAGCGGCGACTTGGAACAGCCTCCATCCCGGCACGATGCCTTCGACACCGTCCAACAACAACATCTGCCCGTCCCGGGTCCTCGGGGAGGACTCCATGGGCGGATAAGAGTGCCAGATCCACCGGCTGCGCGACCGACCGCGCCGCCCCCCGAGCTCCGACGGCAACGGCGGCGGCAGCCCCGCCCTCCCGATGCGCCCTTAGAGCCAGGAGAGTAGAGACGCGCCTCGACTCTCTCGCGCAAGTGGCGTTTGCCAAATGGATGCGGTGATCCCGAAGAGCCAGGCCCCAGCCGGTGACAGACATGAATTGAGATGATTCAGTAATTCATGGATACTCACCAGGACGCGAAAGGCAAAGACCAAGGGCCTGTCCTAACCTGGGTCTTTTTGTGTGATAAGTAGGTTGAACTTTGCGCAAACTCGTTGAATTCCCCTCTCCTGAGGCCGGGCTGCACTTCTGCAGGCCGCCCTTCTCCTGTAAGTCATCAGTGTGTTATTCGCTCGCCCGTAACCCCTCCACGCAACTGTCGTGTCTTCTATTTAACCCTCTTTCTATCTCTAGGGCCGCGATCTCCTGGGTGACGCGGACGCTCTTGGCGGAGAATTCCACGCCGGGCGGTTGAGTGCGCATGCGCACCCATTTCGGTCCTCCCCCCTCCCTTTTTAAACGCAGCCCCGTCACGGAGGCAGAAAGAT